TAAAAAAAAAAAAAAAAAAAAAAAAAAAAAATATTAAGGTAAAACCTACCTATATAATTTACCATGTTTACCTTTTTTTTTTTTTTTTTTTTTTTTGAGACAGAGTCTCACTCTGTCACCAGGTGCCAGGCTGGAGTGCAGTGGCACCATCTCGGCTTATTGCAAACTCCGCCTCCCAGGTTGAAGCGATTCTCCTGCCCTAGCCTCCCAAGTAGCTGGGACTACAGGTGCACACCACCACGCCCAGCTAATTTTTGTATTTTTTGTAGAGACGGGGTTTCAGCATGTTGGCCAGGATGGTCTCAATCTCTTGACCTCATGATTCGCCCGCCTCTGCCTCCCAAAGTGCTGGGATTACAGATGTCAGTCACCGCGCCTGGCCCACCTTTACCATTTTTAAGCATAAAATCTAGTGGACATAAATACCTTTATATGCCAGGTGTGGTGGCTCATGCCTATAATCTCAGCACTTTGAGAGGCTAAGACAGGTGGATCACTTAAGATAAGGTGGTCAAGACCACCCTGGCCAACATGGGGAAAACCCATCATTACTAAAACAAAACAAAACAAAATCAGCCAGGCATGGTGGCACGTGCCTGTAATCCCAGCTACTTGGGAGGCTGAGGCTGGAGAACTGCTTAAGCCCAGGAGGCGGAGGTTGCAGTGAGCCGAGGTCATGCCAGTACACTGCAGCCTGGGCAACAGAGAGAGCCTCTGTCTCTAAATAAATAAATAAATAGACAAACAAACATATTCTTTTTGTCGTTACCCTCCACCGTTCCCGTCCTGGCCTCTGGTAGCCGCCATTCTCACGAGGTCCACCTGTTAGCTCCTGCATGAGGTCCTCACACAAGGACCTAACAGGTGGACCACGTGAGAATGGTGTCTGAACCTTCATGAGGTCCGCCTGTTAGCTCCTGCATATGGGTGAGAAATGGCAGTCTTTGTAATGCCCTCCAGTTCCATCCAGGTGGCTGGAAGTGACAGGACGTTTCTGTTTTATGGAGGAGCGGTCTCCATTGTGCGTATGTACTACATTCTCTCCATCCAATCATCCTCTGATGGGCAGGGAGGTTGACACCACGTCTTGGCTACTGTGAACCATGCTGGAAGAGTCATAGGAGTGCACATGTCACCTCGATACACTGTTGTCCTTTCCCTTGGGTTTATACCCGGTAGTGGAATGCTAGATCCTGTGGAAGTTCTCTTGTTAGGTTTCTTTATATGTATACATATACTTTAAGTTCTGGGGTACATGTGCAGATCATGCAGGATTGTTACATAGGTATACACATGCCATGGTGATTTGTCAGATCCATCCCTCATCACCTACATTAGGTATTCCTCCTAATGTTATCCCTCCTCAATCTCCCCACCCCCTGCTATCCCTTCTCTAGCCCCCCCACCACCCAACAGGCCCTGGTGTGTGATGCTCCCCTCCCTGTGTCCATGTGTTCTCCTTGTTCAACACCCACTTATGAGTGAGCACATGCAGTATTTGGTTTTCTGTTCTTTTGTCAAACAAAAGCAAAAAGAGACAAATGGGATCTAATTAAACTTAAGAGCTTCTGTACAGCAAAAGAAACTATCATTAGAGTGAACCAGCAACCAACAGAATGGGAAAATTTTTTTTTCTTTTTTTTTAAGATGAGGTTCTGCTCCTATTGCCCAGGCTGGAGTGCAGAGGTATCATCTGGGCTCACTGCAACCTCCACCTCCAGGATTCAAGCAATTCTCCAGCCTCAGGCTCCCGAGTAGCTGGGATAACAGGTGTTCACCACCATGCCTGGCTAATTTCTGTATTTTCAGTAGAGATGGGGTTTCAGTATGTTGGCCAGGATGGTCTCCAACTCCACACCTCAGGTGATCCACCCGCCTTGGCCTCCCAACGTGCTGGGAATACAGGCATGAGCCACAGTGCCCGACCTCTTTTCATTTTTTGAGGAACTTCCATAATGTTCTCCTTCGTAATGGCTATACTAACTTACATTCCTATCAACAGTGTACAGGGGTTCTTCTTTCTCTATCACCTTTCCAGCATTTGCTTTTTGTTCATCTTTCAGATAAAAGCCGTTGTAATTGGGTGAGAAGATAGCTCACTGTGATTTCACTTCGCATGATTAGTGATACTGAGCACTTTTTCATATATGTGAGAGCCACGTGTATGTTTTGTTCGTTAAAAATATCTGTTCAGGGAAGGAGAGCAGGGGGTGGGGAGAACTTAACATATAATAATAATAATAAAAGAAATACCTGTTTGGAACATTTACTAATTTTTAAAATTATTTTTTCAAATTGAAGCGTTTGAGCTTCTTACATATTTTAGTCACTAATCCCCTCTCCGATGAACACTTTGCAAATATTTATTCCCATCCTGTGACTCGTCCCTTCACTTTGCGATGAGTTGCTTCCTTTGTGATGCAGAAGCTGCTTAGTTCAGTGGAATCCTGATGGTCTATTTTTGTTTTGATTTCTTGTGTTTTTGGGGTTTTAAACAAAACGTCTTTCCTCAGACAAAAGTCCTGGAGCATTTCCCCAGTGTTTCCTTTAGATGTTGTATGGGTTTGGGCCTTCCGTCTTTCATGCACTTTCATTTGATTTTTGTGTGTGCTGAGAGGCAGAGGTGCGGTTTCATCCCTCCTCATGTGGATACCCAGTTTTCCCCGCACCGCTCATTGTAAAGACTGTCTCTTCCTGGTTGTAGGTTCTTGGCGCCTACAGTCGTCAAAGTTGATTGGATGTAAATGTGTGAATTATATCTGTGTTCTTCATTCTGCTCCACTGTTCTATGAGCCTTTCTTTATGACAGTATCGTGCTGTTTTGCTTACTATGGCTTTGTAACATATGTTTAGGTCAGGGAGTGTGACGCCTCCAGCTCCTGTTTTCTCTTTATACCTCAAAGTCCCAGGACAGTGGGCATCAGGTAAAATGACTATGGAGAAGGGGATGCCAGGACTCCCAAGGCCCAACGTTAGATAACAGAGTGTTGGCCGTGAACCAACCTCAAAGATTTCCACTGAGTAGAAGACAGGCATCCTCATTTCCACACCTCTCTCCTGTCCCGTGTTCTAGGAAACCCTTCAAGCGGTTGGCCTTCACCCACAGAACCAAGCTCCAAAACTGGTGAGTAAAGGATCCCTCCTGTCTTTGCTTTTGGAAAGCTGGGGAGGTGGAAGCCATGGAATCAAGTGTTGGCTCAGCACCTCTCAGCTCTGTGATTGAGGGCCCGTCTTCTGCCATCTCTGAACCCCAGACAGTAACAGTGCAAGGGATCTGGGGCCAACACGAGGCTCAGTGAAGTCTCTTAATCTCTAATTTTCTGCAGCTGAGACCTCTAGACTAGAAGGATGAGTGGGAATGTGACATCCTTCTGAGAAAACATGCAGTGGGGCTATGCCAAGTTCTGTCACTTACAGTCGCTCTGGGAAGACAGAAGATACACACAATAAATTACATAAAGCAAGTTTATTACTTATGGATAATCAGCAAATGACAACAGAAGCCTTCCTTTCAGTGTGAGTCAATCCCCTAAGGCTCAGAAAAGCTGCCCAGGACACACGGAGTCACCCCATTGGAACCGAAAACCAGCCCCGCCTGGGTGTTGCACCCTGGAGCCACAGGAGGCACTGAGCTAAAGCACTGCATCACACCCTCCTCTAGGAAGAGCAGGAGGAGAGCCCAGGCTGTTCTGGGACGTTCCTCCTGATCTCAGGGCGTGGCTGTCTTGGTCCATTTTCGTTGCTATCAAAGAACACCTGAGCCTGGGTAACTTCTAAGGGAAAGGAAATTGTTTGGCTCACAGTTATGCAGGCTGTACTAGAAACATGGCCCCACCATCTGCTCCTTGTGATGACCTCAGGCTGCTCCCACCCTGGCAGAAGGGAAAGGGGGTCTCTGCGTACAGCGACCACAGAGATCACATGGCAAGAGAGGGAGCAAGGGGGTGTGATGGAGCTTCCAAGCTCTTTTTAAGAACCAGCTCTCCAGGAACTAATAGAGGGAGAACTTCCTAACCCTGTCTCGTGGGGACAGCATTAATCTATTCATGACAGCTCCACCCCCATGACACAGGCACCTCCCAGTAGGTCCAGCCTCCCAAACTGTGGGTTAAATTTCAGTGTGAGGTTTGGAGGGGTCAAACTTCCAAACTATAGCCGTGGTATCCCAGCACGTTCTCTGGTAATTTTGAGAACTATAACTGAAAAAGCAGGAGAAAGCTGGGTCCCCGTCATCAGGGGACTTGTCCTAAAGAGACGTTGTATGTGGTTACCTGGCAGTGAAGAGATGAGAGACGATCCGGGAAGAGGAACTGCTGTGCTCAGCTTCTTATTGGATTCCCGTCTTCCTCCAGGTTTCCCCAGACACCTGCACGTTCTCATTCGGTGC